ATTATGTGTTTGATTCCTCCATGTTACTCATAGGTCTAGCTGCCGTGATGTGGATGCATTAGGCATTTAATACGTAGTTGTAGAATTAATCCAAGGTTCCTCTTAAAAAAAAAAACCCAGCACCCCCAGAATTATAATAACTCACATGGATTGAAAGTTTATTATTATTATGTTATAGGTACTGTGTTAGATGCTTCTCTACCTTATCTCTATCTTTACAACCTTATCAGATGGATTCTATTGTTATATCCATTTTATTTATTTTTTATTTTTTAGTTGCTTTATACCGATTGTAAAGAAAGGAAAATGGAGGCTTAGAAAAATTGCCCGAGATGACACAGTCAGTAAATATGGGAGCTAGTACTTGAACCTAAGCAGTCTGTCCCCTGAATTCATGTTCTTACCAGAACGGTCTACAGTCCCTGGGTGATCTAATACTCAAATGGTGTAATGGAAAGAGCACTGGCTTAGTAGTTACGAGATCGATTCAAGATGTCAATCTGGGCTAGGAATTTACCCAAGGGATACAGGAGTGCTGATGCACAGGGACACTTGTACCCCAATGTTTATAGCAGCACTTTCAACAATAGCCAAATTATGGAAAGAGCCTAAATGCCCATTAACTGATGAATGGATAAAGAAATTGTGGTTTATATACACGACGGAATAATACTTGGCAATGAGAAAGAATGAAACATGGCCTTTTGTAGCAACATGGATGGAACTGGAGAGTGTTATGCTAAGTGAAATAAGTCTCACAGAGAAAGACAGATACCATATGGTTTCACTCTTATGTGGATCCTGAGAAACTTAACAGAAGACCATGGGGGAGGGGAAGGAAAAAAAAAACAACAGTTACAGAGGGAGGGAGCCAAACCATAAGAGACTCTTAAAAACTGAGAATAAACTGAGGGTTGATGGGGGGTGGGAGGGAGGGGAAAGTGGGTGATGGGCATTAAGGAGGGCACCTGTTGGGATGAGCACTGGGTGTTGTATGGAAATCAGTTTGACAATAAATTTCATATTAAAAAAAAAAAAGATGTCAATCTGGACACATCACTTAATCCATCAGAGCCTGTTTTTCCTCCTCTATCATCTAGGGATTATTCTGTTCCTACACCAGAAGAGCACTTGAGGATTAAGGAAGAAAATGTGCCTTTTGTTCGGTCACACACACCTTTAAAAATCTAATGAAACTGTGTAACTCTCAAAAATATAATATAATATGTGCATCTACTGTCCCAGGAGTAAGGAATTCCTGTAGCTCATTCAAACACTTCTGGATAAGAACCCCTGATACATAAGGAAGAGGGTTCCACAAAAGTCCAGTCCGATTACCTCCGTTCTTAGGGTTCTTTTCTGTAGGCATGGAACCTGAGCCCAGTCTGGAGATCCAAATTTCATTGGCCAGGTGATTTTTTTGGGGGGCTTCATCTCTGGGTTGTATGTGCCAGGGCTAGAAATAAAAATACAAAGCATCACATGTGATGACTTAGTGACTGTATACAAACTCCATCAGTACCACAGCCATCCCTGAACTTGGCCTAACTCCTTGAGAAAAGGAAATAGCCCAGTTAGCTTTTTTTAATGTGGGGCAAGTGTGGGGTTTGCTTGCCTATTAATGTATTTCTGGTGAATGTTACAATATCTAGTCTTGCCATCCAGTTGGGATTAACATTGACTCTAATTTAAAAAATATTTCTGCAACTCAGTATCCTTGGTGGAGAGACCAAAAGATCCCAGGAGCGGTGGATGAGAAAAAGAGATCTACCACAGTCATGAATAAGTACTGCTCATGATTTGAAACTGGTGGTAAAAGTGTAATGATAATCCAATCAGCAATCTCAGGATGAGAAGGCTGTTAAATTTTGATAGACATGGCATTATTTTATAATTGCTTTTGTTCATAACGCTTTGTTTTTGGTGTAGACTCTTCACTGTGTTGGAAACAGCACTTAGGATGGACATGGGGGCCAAGAGTCAACATTTTCACTTCCTTCATGCAACCTTGAGAAAGTTACACCCACTCTCTGATCCTTGAATTTCTCATGAACCAGGCAAAGACCTTGACCCTCTGCCCCAGAGTTGCACACATGCTGAATGGCTTCCTGAAGCGCTTGGTCTATAAGGGCCACGTGCTCAGCCCTGGCCTTCCTCCT